TTTTTTTTTTAAACGAAGCATTAACACATGTTAGACTGCACCCCATAAAAACAATCAAGCCTAGAAAAAAACCAGTCAGCCACCCCTTTAAAAATGTTGTTATAAGAATATTTGAAATGGTCATTTAATCATTATAGAACCTAAACAAATCATCTTGCTCATGTTGGATGGCCATACGTCCTCTTTTTCCTGGACATGTCCTGGCTGGGATTTCAAAATTGCCTGAAATGTCCAGGTTTTGGCTTTGTTTTTATGTTGATATGCTTTTTACAGTCCTCATACATTATGTGTGTTTGCATTGCTTTTAGGCAATTTAGAAATTCTGACCAGGACATGTCTGGGAAAAAGAGGATATATGGTCACTCTATGCTTGTGTATCATGTCACATAAACATTTATGTACCTATTTTTTATGTACCCATATTATATAAATTAGAATGCAAGATTAAAATGAAATTTTAGAATCTGCTTGTCTTTGCTCAGTTATGGTTCTGGACCATTAAGTTCTTAGATTAAGCATTATTTTCTTTCATATGCAGCAGTTTTATATAAAAATGTCCCCTTTTTACAACTCCTTTATAACTTATGTTAAAAATTCTTACTTGCTGATACTGTACATTCAGCATCTCAAGAAACCAAATGTTGGCAGGGTTATAGATATTCTGTCCTTGAGTTTTTTCTTCCTTCTATGCAGTAAAACAGTACCAACAAAAGAGAAGACTCAAAAGTTTAGAATGTGTTTCTTTAGATGCATTACCCAGACTTCACTCCTGCCAACAGACATTGCCATCTAAACAATTAAAAAAGTTTCCATTAGTGCTAAAAATGTCTTGACATAGCACAGGCCCCTAAGGTGTGTGATTATCATAAGCATGACAAACAAGTAGTGTCAAGCAGAGTTCATACCTGTTTGTGTGAGTGGTGGGGAGGTTGTTTGTGTTCAGTGGTTTATCTGCTAAGGGTGACATTAACTCACCTTAAGTAAGGAACCTTTTCTCAAATCTTTGAAGACTGTCTGGTAAAACTTAATTGCAGACATGGAGTTTGACTCAAGCTTATATCAAAGCTTTTGAAGTAAACAGCCTGGGTGTTTTTGCACTCAAAGTTGAAACATATTTAGATGTATTTTATGCAGTCATAATAGTAAGATATAAGAGATATAGTGAAGGAAATGTTTATGAGAGTAGCAGCTATGTGATAATACTGCTTTTAATGGTGTTTTTTGTTTGATTTGCCTTACAAAAATGGCGATCATTTTTTTACATGTAGCAAACAAAACTATTTTAACTTGTAGAACTTAGATTTACTTTCTACAAAGTGTGAAAAACATAACCTGCATTTTTTTCTTTTAAATTATTAGAAATTCGAGATGTGTAACTCAAACCCCATATTTCTGGATGTCAGGATGAAACGGGCTGAAGATTTATACTCTGGGTAGATTGGGATGGCTACCTCCCATGTCTTTGTATTACTTGGAGGTCGCCCAGAGACCGTGAAGTTTTAGATTTCACAAAACACGAACCACTTAGAGCCTTATTGGTAACCACACTGTTAAGGAGATTCCTCAAGGCGTCTGCAGAATAGTAATCATTTTGCTGAAAAGTGAGAATCCCTCTTTAAACATGTTCCACGTTCAGCATCTGCCAGGACTGTGTTAATGGAATGTGGATGGCTGTCCATAGATCAGCTTGTCACAGGGCGAAAATGTACAAGGACCGTGATAGGACAACGTCCCTGGAGGTTGTGTATACACATGGATTGTGGTGGATTGCATATTGTCAGGCAGGTCTGCTTTGGCGCAGATGGGAAGGAAGGCTGGGGGACAGGAAAGGGAACTCTGTGGCAAGCCCTAGAAGCCTTGTCTTCAATAGGAGGAAAGGGAGGAGTGCAGAAGAGAATGAAGGGAAATAG